TTCAATAACACTACTGGAATCTCTTGTTTGCAACATCCATGGTCCCACTGTCACGTATAGATATGACTTTTGCTTGCTTACCAGAGCTGGTACTCTGCAGCTGTGACAGTCAAAGGTGGGAACTCAAATGACTACACCTTGACTGCATTTTATTTTGCTTAGTCCAGTAAAATAAGGACTATAAAGACAGACACTGGCAGAGGAAATACAACTTGTTACCACTTCTCCACTGGAGACTATCACAGACAGGAGATTATGGGGAATGGACTGAGCACAGGAGTGGCCAAAGAGCACTCTGTTCATTCCTGTGACTTAATCCATGTGCTTCTTTCAGGAGATCTGACTATACCACCAAAAGTGGAGCAGTTATGGGAGCATGAGTTTTTGTTGTCCCTCATGGCCAGGGAACAGATTCACGCAGGAGAAGCAAAGTGCTTAGAGCCTCCTGTCCAAACTGAGCGAGGAGACAATTTCTGATCTGAAACAGAGCAAGTCCCCATGCTGCTGTTGCAGTCATTCCCAGGGACAGCTTCTCCCCCATCAGTAAGATCTCACAACATCCTTTCTACCACAGAACTCACCTGACATCCTCAGCTCCAGCCACCCAGCCAGCACACTCACAATTGCTCCCCAGTGCTGGCCCAGCACCTACAGCCTCCACATGCACAGGGTTGCAACACCTGAATGTGAAACACATCAAGTGATCACAGAACAGAGGTACCACTGTCCCCATTACAGGGACTACATTTGCTCAATACTCATTACATGAAATATTACTCATGGTCACTAATATTCCAATGTACTCCTGAAGGCTGCCTGGTTCTGGATACTAGATTTCTGTAAGACATTTTAGTGCAGGGAATGAGGGGTTCCCTTTTAAAAACTTCATGCAGCAAATTTGCATGAGCCTCCTGACACTTGGGAAGAGCTCTGATGACAACCTGTGTATAAGGCAAAAAGCATAGGGAGGGTTGGCATTCTTCCACCAGCCTTGTACCCTCTCACAACCCTCCATCAACCTAGCTGACTTCAGTGACAGTAACTGCCATGTACACATCTGAACAGAGACACCAGTAATGCAACAACTTATCTGATCCCTCAGGGATGTATGTGACCATAAGCAAACAAATCACTCCAATTGCCTGGCTTGGAGATGCTTAGTATGAAGCAGGAGGACACAAGAGAGCTAGGATCAGACCCAGAACTTTCCTGGGCTTTTTTTTCAACTTCCTTGGTATGCTTCTCCTGAAAGATAAGAGAAAAGCATGACAGGCTGCATTTTCATGCAGAAGGGAGCACACTCCTTCAAATTATTTTAGCTCATATGGCTCTCAGGATAACTTCCCTTGTGACAGCCATAGGCAATCACAAATGACATGATCTTCTTGCCAATACCCTCTTGTAACAAGTTTTGAGATCGCTGTATGAAAAGGACTTGGGATCAGTAGCACACAGTGACAATCACAGGGAAAAGTTTCCTGTGGGAATTACAGATTGCTTTGCATAGATTTCTTAAAAAAAGGTTTGAGTAAATTCTTTCTTATGGGGATGCAAAGGCCCTAGAGTGCACAGGCAGCTCTGCAAATATTGCTTCACTTGTGAATACTAGAGATCAGACACTACTTAACACTCACTGTAACATTTATAAGACTTCTGTTGCTGAACAAGATAGCCTGTGCAATAACCAAATAAGTGTAATTAAGGCATTTTAGGGTTTATGGTGCTCGATTAGATTAAACTGATATTTAAAGTTACATAAAGGTT